CGCCATCGCCCCGCCCGCGCCTCGCGGCCCAGGGCTGGGGCGGGGTCGACCGCTGGTAACTACGCCTGCGCGCAGGCCTGCGCCTGCGTACCAGGGCCCGAATCTGGGGCGCCTGCGCGCTGGAGGGGGCCGGGTGGAGCCTGCGCAGTGGCATCCGGCCGCTGCGCTGTTGGCTTTGGTGTGTCGGGGTTCAGAAGTAGGAAGGAAGGGGTTCTGCGGAGTCGCGGCAGTGGCTGAGGGTGTTGTACCACTCTTAGCAGAGTTTTGCCTTCCTTCTCCTTATCCACAGGCCGCAAATATTAAATGGGAAATTGTAGAAGTAAGCAGTTCCTAGCTTTTCAGTTGCGCGCCTTTTCGAGTAGCGAACGAAGCCTCACCGTCCTCTCCACCCAGGCGCGACAGTCTTTCCCTCCGGCGGTGGCGGTGGTGCTGAGCTCGATTCCGTGGCCCTCAGCTTGCCTGATGGTGGCCCCAAAGCGCCAGAGTGACGATGCCGGGCGATTCAGATATGCCAGGGAAGCCGTAACGCCCTTGCTTTGTGGAAAGGAGAAAGCTCTGGACTTAATTAGGGAAGAAGTTGCTAACCTCTGGTAAGAACAAATCTTGATCTGTGAAATTGTGAAAGAAAAAAAAAGTTGCTAGTTTTGCCCTCATACCTCACTGCAAAAGTTAGGGCTACCGTGCGTGATGAGCGCTTGGTTAAGATGGAGAAAGCACTGAATTTGTGAGTAGTCAGAACAGAAAACGGGTAGAGTGATGACAGCCTGTTGGGTCAGGCACTGAGCCTACACCAAGAGTTGAACAGGGAGCCCCTGAAAGGAGGAGGCAAAGGTGGTAGCACAGACTCGGGAATAGGTTTGCACCGGGAAACTGCAGAGGCTGCTTTGGGCTGTGAAGAAGCTGCTGCTCCATTTTTGGCAGTGTTGAAGTTGAAGGAGAAAGCCCCCCAAAATCATGAATTGTCTACAGAGGACATGGAAGAAACTGTAGCAAGAGCTAGTGTGTACACAGCCAAAATTTGCCGATATTTCCAATCGCACAGAATCAAAGGACAAAATACACTACCCTCGTAGTATCTGCTCAAGGGCTGCAGTCTACAGCAGCACTTTGATAAGTTAAAGACACAACTTTGCAGTTACAGTGTTCTTTTCCAAAAGTTTTGGGGCGGGGGGAATCTGCTACAGAGGACCCCAGCTGTCTATTTCGACTGCTCCTGGCATCCACCCAGCGACATCGCAATGGCTGTGTGGTCTGGGGTCACCCAGGTCACCCAAAGCAGGTAACTTGACATTCAGTCAGGTCGGTAGCAGCCTCGTGTGGAATCCCAGTGTCTGCTTTTGCCATCCCATCACAGGCATTATGTCACTTGCCGTCATACAGGGCAGTACAGAACAGTAAGAGTTTGAGAGACCATTCTCATGTTTTTATTAATGTAGTGTTATAATTATTAGTTTTGGTTACTCTATTCCTGTGCCTAATTTAAGCTTTAGTATAACAAAACACATAGTACATAAAGGGTTTCGTAGTCTATGTGGTTTCAGGCATCCTCTGAGGGGCTCAGGATGTATGCCCTGCAGATGAAAGGCCTCCAGTAGCCTTGAATTCTACATTAGCATTCTGGTGGGTTGGCCAGGGTGGAGACCAAGATGTCCAGTCCTAACCTCTGACCCACATTCATTTCGACTTCTTTGGCTTTCACAGAAGGCACACACCCTGAGTTGTGTCCTATAGTGATATCCCAATTGAGGGTTACACTTAAGAGTGTCCCCAGCATGAAGGAAGGTTAGAGGAGAGTCCTGGGTTGGAGAGATGGTTCCCTGGTTAGGGGGAACATCCCAGCTGCCAAAAGGGATCCCAGTTAGGGGCATGTCCCAACTTGAGTGTTCTAGTCAGGGAAGATACCCCTATGGGAGCAAGAGGGCACAAGGTAGAGTAGGTACTCCAGCTGGGGGTGGTGTCCTGAATGGAGGGTGTTCCAACAGGGAGAAATACCCTAGTTGGGGAGGAGCCTCTGATTAGGACTGCCCCAGAGCAGGGGCAGTGTCCCAGGGGAAACTGTTGCCCTGGTGGGGAGATTCTCCAGATGGAGGGAGGGGCATGACTAGAGGTTGCTCCAGGTAGGAGATATGCTCTCCTTGGTTTCTCCAAGCCCCCTGCCAGGCACAGGCTTACCATGCACAGGTCAAGGCTTTTATTGCAGCCTAAACATCCTTCACTGGACAGCATATCTAGCACCACATAGACTGTCTGACTACTTGCTCCCTGCCAGACTTGTCTCTCCCATCCTTGGGACTTGAGAAAAAGCATAAAGGAAAATTGAGGTTCTCACTGACAACTAAGGAAGCCTTGAATCTTGACAGCCAGTCTGGGCTCTGTCTTGTGGGGAGACAGAGTAGAAACATGACTCCACTAACTCTAGCACTGTTGATACACACAGATCCAGAGGAGGAGATGCACAGCCATAAGTGTCATCCCCGCTTTCCTAAAGGCAGCTGATGATAGGCACAGGAGTCAACCTGACCCCCCTTCTCCCACCTACCTTTTCATCTCTGCTTGTTTTTTTTTTTTTTTTTTTTAATACTTGCTTGCTTTTGAGGCATGGTCTCACTATGCAGATCAGGCTGGCCTTGAACTCACTGTGTTGTCCAGGCTGGCCTCGAACTCACAGTGATCCTGCTTCAACCTCCAGAGTGCTGGGTTTACAGGTGTGCACCCCCACTCGTGGCCATCTCTGCTTCATCTGTCCCTTCCCAGAAACCTTTATCTCAGATGTTTGTGTAGCTGGCTTCCTTACCATCCTTGCATTTTTTTTTCCTTATTTTTCCATCTTTGCCCCTTAAACATAATCATTTCAGAAAATTCTCCCCCTTTGTTAAAAATGACACTGTTATGGCTTGTATCTAGATGTCCCCCCATATTCTCATGCTCTCATAAGAGGGGCTTTTCAGAGGGGCTGGATCTAGGGTATGAAAAATGGATTAGTCCACTATTGGTTTAGCATAGTTCTGGATGCGGATAATGAGAAGACCCACCTAGGTGTGGGTGGCATCAACCAATAGGCTTGTAGACTGGATGGAATAAAAGAGAAGGAAAGGCTCGCTACTTCCTGCCTGCCATGCCATAACTGCTTCTCCTCTGCGATGCTGCCCTGCCTCAGAGCCAACTGACTATGGACTGAAACCTCTATAAACTGTAGGCTGAAATAAACCTTTCCTCCTTAACTTGTGGGTGTCAGGTATTTTGTTCCAGCAATGAGAAAAGTAACTAAGACAGGCACCTCACACTTGTTTTACTTGGCTCTATCCCTGACTCTCCTACACCCTTACTTGGCATATACTTGGCACACTTATCTTTCCACTATTTTGTGTGCCTAGTGCCTAGAATATGTGGTATACAGGAAACAAATATTTGGTAAATGAGTATGTGGAGTTAAAATGAGGGGGAGACCCTTGACCCAGCAAATACAACTGTGAATGAATGTATCAGAAGTAGCCTACAAAAAAAAAAATGTAGCCTACCAGAAGCCCTCTGTCCCATTTTCCCAGCAGCCAGACTTGGCTAACCTAGAACTGACCACCTACCCTGTGGCTGCACGTGTATGTACTTCACATCCTGAGAGGCAGTCCCTGTGCATATCCACATTTTATGAGTAAACAAGCACAGGAGCTGACCACCAGCAAGCTTATACTTCCAGGAGGTGGCTGTCCTGCCTGCAGCCTTTCTGCTTTTCTCCAGCACTCACCTTCCACTTGTCCACACGTGTCTACCTGGCAAAAGACTGCATTGCCAACAGCAAGTGTGGCCACTGGCAAGTATCTAGGTGACACAACCCACTTTCCGTCTGCCTCTCCGGTGCTGGTGTCCAGGCCCAGCAGGCCAGGGCACATGAAACCAGAAGGTAGAAGCTACAACTTGGGAGTGACAGCTGTGTGGCAGGCCTGGATCCACCTTCCTCTACTTGTGATTATCTGGGGGAGGAGAGCACAAGACTGTCTCCTGAGAGCCTGTGTGCCTGTTACACCAAGGTACTATGGCTGACACACCAAGCACAATCTCACTGCACCCAATCCCAGCCGGGATTGGGCCCAGTCTGCCTTAGCTGCCTCCAGTGCATCCCACATCCCTCCCACCTGCAGCATGCAGGCAGGCGCAGGTGCCCCCACCCACCCATGTGTGCTCCCCATGGCTTTTGACGCTGAGCCACACCACCCAGGCAGCGACCTCAGGCCCAGGGGTAGGATTCTACTGGGGACAGGGACATGGCAAGCCCTCTCCCCACAGTTTCCTCAGGTGTGGAATAAGAAGTGCCAGTCAGCAATCCAGAGTACACCTCAAAAGGGACAGGGAGGGTGTCCCAAAGACTGTCAGTGTAGCAGATGCAATGCTCCACATGGGCAGGGAAAAGGAAAGAGGATGGGAAGGGCCTGGGTGGGACCAGGGAAGGGGAGTAAGGCAGAGGTGGGACCGGGGGTCCACACCAGAGGATGGAGGGCATCTGAGGGCGGATTGCCCAGGTGGGCCTCTGCCCAGTTCCACAAAGTGCTTTATTTACAGTCTCTCCAGGTTCCAAGCCCTTGCCGCCCCTCCCCAGCCCAGGGGAGAAGAGGACCATCTCTAGGGGAGCCAGGAGAGGCTGGTCCTGGGCAGGCACAGGTCCTGAGTGGGCGGGCCAGGCAGAGAGCAAAGGCACAAGGCCCTGGGTGTCCTGTCCCAGGGCAGAGGCCTGGCCCACCGAAGAAGGCAGCATAAGTCAGCTCTGGAGGGTCAGCTCCCAGGGGTCAGGCCAGGGTCAGCACTGCCGCAGCTCTGCTCATAGGATGGCGGAGCCTCTGGGGGGACAGAGTGGGGTCTGCAAGGGTCTTGTAGCTTATCTCCCCCCCAAACCCAGTCACCAGCCTTTGCACTCACCATAAGGATAGCCCCACGAGCTATACTCCGGGGGAAGAATCAAGGTGCTGGTGGTGGGCAGAGGGCCCACGGAGCCCTCTGCAAAGTAGGGGACAGTGGCACCTGTAGAGATGCACAAAGGAGGGTGCAGAGAGTTGGGGGCAGGGTTGCCATCCTGAGCGCAGAGTTCTGAGGCGCCAGCAGGTAGCGGCTGCTGCTGCGAGTGGCTTTTGGTGCAGAGGGAAACCAAGTCAGAGAAGTGCTGGCCACCAGCCACAGCCTCAGCCTCCTCCTGGGGTGGTGCAGAGGGCACCACTGTTGATGAGGTCCCGGGAAGGGGCCCTGGGCCAGGCTGGGGACTCAGCAGGGCTTGGTTCACAGCAATATTGCCAACAAAGACTGGGAGGGTCACAGTGGCTTCAGGCACCTTCATAGAGACCTGGGGAGGATGAGGTGATGAGGGCCAGTGTAAGGCCACCTGACCCCACCTCCCAGCCCATGGCAGTACCAAACCTGCAAGTAGTAGTCGATATGGATGAGGCTGCAGCCTGGCAGGGCTGACTGGGGCAAGGCAGGTACCAGAATCTGCTCTTGCCACTGAGCACGCCGCCAGGCCTTGACAGCAGCACCCTCCACTTCTGCGATGGTCCGCACATCATAGATCCAGCGCTTGGCCTTGTAGGACACTTTCTGGGGAAAGACCAGCCTGTAAGCCAAAGCAGGCAGGCACCCGCCACCTGTCCAATGGGCTGTCCCTGGCAGCCAGAGAAGGCTCTGACCTGCAGCAGACTGGCCACCACAGGGCTTGTGTCCTTTCCAGACTGGTTCTCGATGTCGGCCTGTAGCCGCAGCACCTGCCCCACCACGTAGCCACGAAGATCAGTGCTAGCTGTGAGGACCACGCTGCCCGTCTTCACCAGCTTGTAGGAGAACTTCTTAGTGGTGGAGGCCACATTGGGTTGCTTGGGGGAGAGGATCAGGGAAGGGTTTGGCAGGTGAGCACAAGCTGCATTCCCATGGCACTTGACGGGCCCACTCAGCCTTGCCTCAGGCACCAGCAGTTGGTTCAGACAGAGGCTTTTGCTTGCTGCTTCCAGACCCTACCCTGGCTGCCCTGGCTCTGCTGAGGACAGGGCCCTGGGCCTGGCTCTCCCCACATGCCTGAGGGGTGGGGGCTACCAAGGAGACCCCCGCTCCATCCTCACCTCAATGTCTGGGATGCTGTTCAGGTTCAGTGGGCTCAAGATGTAGAATACCAGGCTGCACTTGTGATCCTTGGAAAACCTCGGTGTGTCGATGGTAGCCCTCACCTGGTGCACAATCCTCCCAAATGGACCCTCGAAAGATGTGGGTGCTGTGGCTGAGCAGAGAGCAGAGACTGGCACCTAGTACCTCCTCCTACCGGGCCCACTGCCCCAGAGCTGCTATCCCCACCAGTCATCCAGGCCAGCTCTCACCTGGAAGCAGGAACTGGAAGGGAAAGCTGTGCTCTCCTGTGGGTAGACTCCCTGCAGAGACAGGAGTGAGGTGGGTACAGGCCTTGGGAGGCCAATGGGCCAGCCACAGTTCCAGGTCAACAATGGGCACCACCGCCAGCCAGCCCACGCCGCACATGGCTGTTGGTTTCCCAGTCTCTCTCCAGCCCCATAGCAGCATAGCCATGAGCTGGCCAAGAGCCACCAAGACACCCTTGGATGGGAAAGAGGTTTGGGAAGAGGGACATGTTCCCCAGGGGTCAGAGCACACACGCAGATCCAGCACCACAAAAGTATGGCCCCCTTTGGCCACCCAGCCCATGAGGCAATGGCTTCAGGGAAGAGAACCCCACTAGGGCCACCAGCACAGGAAACCAAGAAGCAGCTGTGGAGAGGGGGGAACAGACAGGCCCCACAATGGGTAAAGGCTGCCCCGGGGGTCACTACTTGAGGTGAGGGACTGGCTCCTAGACTCACCCTTGTCAGCCAGCGACAGGGAGCTGTTGAAGTAGCTCTCCTCCACCACCCATGCCACGTCGTTGGCCTTGTTGGAGACCCCACAGGATCCTGTGCAGGTCACCCGGATGGCTGTAAGGGTGGGGGGACAAGAGGTGAGATCCAACCAGCCTGGCCCTTTCCTGCCCCAGCACAGTTCGGCACCCAGGGGACAAGGAGCCCCACCTGTGTACAGGGCCTGGGAAACAAGCAGCCTGCCACCTTGTCAAGAACACCTCACAGCCGCACTGGTTTAGGGAGTTCCCAGGGAGCCGGGCTGGGAAAGGACCTGACAGGCACACAGTTCCACCTGTCCTGTAATCCAGAGAACCCCAAAACTACCATCCAAATGGGTAATTGTGGCCCCAGCCAGACCTCTGAAAACCCAGCCCCCAGGAAATGCTTGGGGTGCTCCACCTTTCTACTGCAAGTCAGCTAAGTGGGAGGTGCCCCTCCAGGGCCCCAGGAAGCTAACTGCCAGCTCTCAGCCTCAGGAATGTGGTCAGACCTGCCCAAGCAGGTCCTTGACTGGCACTTCAGAGGGCAGCCCTGACTTCCTGGGCCCGCTGCCCAGAGGGTGACTTTTTGTGCCACGAGACTGCTCAGCCCTCCCCCACCCCCCAGCACAGGGGTGCCCAGACCGCTGGAGGCAGAACTCAAGATCAGTCCCCAGAGCCGCCCGGTTCAGAGCCCAGCATGGTCAGGCAGCCATGGCATATGACACAACTGAAGCAGGTACAAACAAGGACCAACCCCACAGAATGCCACCACAGCAGGAAACCCAAGTGGTTATCAGGTGGGAAGCAGGGATTGGCACCCTGCAGTACCACACCACCCTGGTCTGTCTCCCAGACCCGACCAGAGTCATGTGAGGGAAGGTGACAAAGCCACCAGGCAGGAGGGGTCAGCCCCACCTCGGCCCCTGTTGGCCACCTACAGAGCCTCAGCTTCCTCTGAGGAACCCTTGGCACACACTCAGCCCCAAGTGGTTCCCCACACATATCCCCCGCTGGATTGATGGCTGCTGGGCCCCTGTGCCTCCCAGCAGGAGTTCTTGCTTCCCACACCATTGTCCTGTTCTTTGCCCTCAGTCTCCATTCAGCCCAGCCTGGGCCAATTTGGAACCCTGTTCCTTCTGCAGGCTCCCCCAGGCCAGAGTCAGCTGTTCCTGCCCTGGCTCAGAGGAGGACAGGCTCAGAGACGACGTCCCGTAAGAGTTAGACAGGCACAGAACAGCCCTTCGTGGAGAGGCCACGTCCCCCTAGTCCCATAGTCCTAAGGATGCTGGTTCTCACCAGGGATACTGGAAAGGGTATGGCTTCCCCCAGGCAGGTTGGGTGCTGGCCGAGGCCACCCATCAGGTGCCAATTGATGGCATTAAGCTGAAGTTGCCCTCCACCATCCTCCTGCCCTCCACTAATCTCTAACCCTTAAAAACAAAATGGCTGACTTTATTTTTGACAGTGCTGGGAGTTGAACTCCAGGCCTCATATATGCTAGGCAGTGCTCTGCCACTGAGCTACACGCTTGGCCACTTGGCATGGCTTCTACACAGCAGCGGATAACTGGAAAGGTTGTCAGGGAAGGCCTTAGTTACCATTCTAACCCATCAGACTGGTAAATATTAAGTACTTTCACACATGTTGGGGAGGAGATAGGAAAACAGATGCCCCTTACCCTCGTCAGCCACGAGCTGATTCAGGGTGGACCCGCTGTGGCTTCACCAGCAGGACACCCAGCAACTCTCTCACTCCCACACTCACCGGGAGCCGCACACAGGGGTGCTGGTGACAGCAGTCAGTCTAGGCCTCACTAAAGCCATCAGTTGACCAGCCTGGGTGCCCCAGAATTCAGGTGAAGGAACATGGGGCCAGCTGATTCTGCCCCAGGGCTCTTTCCAACACCAGACCCATACCAGGGCTCCTGCAGAAGACTTCCAATACCCAACTCTCTCAGCAGGGACAGCAGCCTGCCCGCCACTTCCTCACCAAAATACCTGAAGATGCTCCTCTGCCTTGCAGCAAGTGGAAGGTCAGGCTGGGAAAACTCCCCAGGGAGACAGTTCTCACTAGTCAAGGCCGTTAGCAGTAGCCAGCTTTCTGGTTTCCCAGATCCCAGTTTATAGTTCTGTCCCGGAAAAGCGAGGGGTGTCCATGGACAGGCTGGGACAGGTATCCTTGCTGCTGGAGACAGCATGGGAGTGGAGGCTCCCACTTCCCTCACACTGGCCAGCACAAGCCACAGGACTGGGCAGCCTGGCGGCCATCATCACCTGGCTGAGCTGCCCTTCAATAGTGATCCTGCAGGTAAGCATGGCAACACCACAGCACGTGCCCTGCAGCACTGCCATGGGACAGAGCATAGTGCTGTGGCAAGGCCAACACCCACAGCGCCAAGAGGAGGCTGTAGAGCACTACACACTGCACAGCGCTTCCAGATACACCGTGTTCAGTGGCCTAACAAAGGCAGGCACCAAGCTGCAGGTGTCAGCGCTGGGGGGCTGGGGCTGCTCTGCTTCTCTTAGGAAAATCACCATGAGAGCTGAGTTCCTTGCTGACTTCTGGAACTTCCGTCTCACACTGCACTCCGACCTGTCTGGCAGCACTCTTCCTGGTACCTGGACACTGACCTGAAGAGCCTCCATACTCCTCTCCTAGTTCCAAAGCCCAGCTTTTGGCCCACACCACCCCTCAAAGTGTGCTGTTCTACTTCTGGACGCAGCATGAACATAACAAGAGTGTCCCCTCCGGGACATGACGGAGAGCAAGGGAGCCAGTCCGTGGGAGTGCAGAGAATGGCATCTGGTCTGTGACCACAGCTCAGGGAGCTACAGCAGTGTGCAGCCGCCCCGCCCAGCCCTGCACAGGCTCCAGAAAACTGAACCTTCCTTCCACATCAGCTCTCAGGCAGCAGTGTCCTCATGTCTGGGTGCTGACTGTCGCTGTCATCCATGGGACAGGCACTCAGAGAGCAAGCCGGAAACGCACGGCAGCTTGCGCCCTTCCAGGGTGTGCAGGGCCTCCCTGTTGTACCAGGAAAAAAAACTGTGGCTTTTCCTCTCCCACCCCACACAGGGCTGGAGGAACCCCAGGGCATCCCCTGCACACATATACCCACCCAGCCCACGCCCCATCTTTAGGCACACCTACCACTGGGATCAGTTGGGGCTCCCTCCTCCTCCTCAGGCCAGCTGTCTATCCACCCACTCTCCACCTGTCACACAGAGGCCAGGGGCTGGCCCCCAGGGTAATGCTCTGTCCACCCCAGCCAAGCCAGGGAGGGAACCAGAGAACAGACAAGCCTGGAAGCAACCTCCACATAGGGCCTCGTCCTGTCCCTCGTGCCCCCCCAGCCCACACACACATGACCTGTACCTCACTCCCCTGGGTCAGGACAGCGGCCTGTCCTCACCCTCACACCTCACCCTGCTCAAGAAGAGCTGTCCTCTCACTGCAGTGCCCCCTGCAGTGGTCACACCTGCCCCCACCCAAACCCAAACTCCAACTGGGGATACAGGAGAGAAGGCACAAAAAGGGCAGAGCTGACGGAGGCATCTACAACCCAGCCTTCTCCTAGATCCTGGCAGCCTGGATGAGGCTGAGGGTCAGAGAGTGTCACAGCACCAGGACGACTGAGAAGAGGATGAAGACAGCCTCCATCTTCAGCACCAGAGGGGCACGCTGCCAACATGAGCCCTAGGGTCAAGTCCAGAGGGAAGGGGACAGCTGTGGTTTGGACCAAACAGCCAGGTGGCCCTCACAAGAGGCCAAGGCAGAGAGATGCACCCACTGAGACGGCCGCACCAGCCTCACACGCAGATCCAGGGGCCGCCACACTGCCCACTACACCCTACCCTGAGGGCTCAGCCATCAAGGTCTGCCCGAGTCCCATCCAGCAAAGCAGCCATACCTGATGGGCAGAGGAGGCTCACACCTGCGAGGCCTTATCAGTGGCTACCGCAGCAACCTGATCCCCAGCCCCAAGGTCCCAGAAGTCTGCATCAGCAGAGGCTCAGGCTCAGCCCCTGTGCCCAGCCCAGGTCAGCCACTGCTCGGACAGCAAGAGCCAGTCTTAGGCAGGTGCCTTGCAGACCTGCTGGAGAGCCGTAGCCCTGGACCAAGTCTGTCTCTGACTGGGAGTGGGGTTGCCCAGCAGCCTGGGGACCGAGGACCCAGGGGGCCCAATGTGGGCTGGGCTTCCGGCGGTGAGAGCTCAGCAGGTGCCGGGCGCAGCCGACCCTGGACACCTGGACAAGAGGGTCAGAGGCCTGCGGCGTCCAGGGAAAGGGTGGTCTCAGCAAGGTGGACGGACCCTAGGCCCCTGCCTGGGATCGGGCCGCCCAACACGGAAAGGACAGGAAGAAACAGATGCGGAAGGACTGGGCCACCGGGCCGCTGGCCCCGCCCTGGCCGCCGTTGGCCTCCCACCCCGCCGGGGTTGCGGCGCTCGATGCCCTGAGCGTGCGCGCGCTCCCGCAGCCCGGGGACCCAGGCCGGGGGCCCTGAAGACGTCGCCTCCGGAGCCCACCCCACCGCCCTCCAAAAGCGCCCCGCGCCCACCTCGGAAGGGCAGTGGAGCCGCCAGGCGCACGCGCACGGCCCCGGCCAGCGGTTCCCCCGGGCAGTAGACGACGCGGCCCTCGCGCAGGCTGATCTCGAAGAGCTGC